GGGCTCCGAGGGGTGAGGACTCTGTCAGACTCCCCTCCTCCCAGGACTTGGCTCTCTGCCCTGTGTTGGGGCATACCCTGGGCAGAGAGGGAAGGCCAGTCCCTGTCAGCCGTATGGAGAGAAGGGTGCTGACAGCGGGCCTGGCCTTTAGAGGGAGACCCACAGGCACACAGGAAGGAGGCAGCGAGGAGCTTGGCCTGGGAGAGACAGAAGGAGGGCGGGCAAGTTCCAAACTCACCTCGGCCCTCCCTGTTCCCATGGGCAGAGGGGAGTGGGGTGCTGAGTCAGCCCCTCCGCCCTCCCCACACACACATGCATGCATGAATGCACGCCTACAGATGGGAACTTGAGGGGCGTAGAGACAAAGTGGCCCAGCATGGTCACAGAGGTCCTGGGCCGGATCTACCAGCTGTGTGACCTTGGCCAGAAGGCTTCACACTGCGGGGCCCTGCTTTCCTGGTCTGGACAATGGGGGTAGTGGACCACTTTCTACCTCAGGGATGGCTGTGTGTGGCCAAGGGGCTGGCAGTGGCACGTGGTTGGTGTTCAGTGACTGTGAGTCACTGGGGCTGCTTTCCCGAGCCCTCAGGGCTGGACAACAGGGATCACAGGGCCACCTTTGCAGGGGGGTAGGGGTGAGGGTGGGGCCAGGCCTGGAGGAGTCTGGGGCAAAGGGCAGAGTCCTAGGTCCCCGCCCACTTGGGTCTCAGGGCAAAGGCCTGAGTCTGTCAGGAGCAGCCAGGTTTGGGGAGCCACCTAGGTCCTCCTGGCGCCTGTCCTTGAAGCTCTGTGGTGGGACACCAAGCGTCAGTGACTGACAGGCCTCCTCTTCCCCCTCTGGCTGGTTAGTAGGTGACCTCAGTGAGACCCACACATGCATATGTGGTCCTTCACTAACCTTGGTTATCATGGCCAGCACTGGGCAGCCCGGCTGAAGGATGTGGGCTACAGGTAGCCGGTGAATGCAGGGTTCGCAGTCAGGAGGAGGACTCCCTGAACCATGGCGGGCAGCCATGAAGGTGGGGACAGACTGAGCAAAAGGCTGGCAATGGGGAGGGTGGCAGACTAGTTTGACCAGAGTCGCCTGGTGCACACTGGATATGGTGAGGGTGTGGATGGGGACATGGATGAAAGTGCAGAGGGGCCTGGGAGGCAGGGAGAGGGCTCTCAGGATGCTGAAATCCTCCCCCAGGGTAGGTGGTCCCTCTCCAGAAGGCCTCTGGATTTCCCCAGTGGCCCTGACGAGGCATCCAGGGGCCGGAGATAGTCCCACGTGTGGGTCACCCAAGTCCCAGAGATGGTGGTGGGGAGCATTCGGGGTTCTTTGTAGCCCGGAGCAGGCACGCCTCCTCACTGCCCATGGCTAGGGCTATGCATACGAGGGCGGGGGCAACGCTGAGAGAAGTGGAGCTGCCTCTCAGCCACAGCCGGGAGACCGGAGCCGCCTTAGTGAATTACACTCCCTGGTCCTCAGGTGATAGAAACGCCGGCCTCTGGGCTGCACTGATGGATTTGGGCTGCGGACCAGGCTCCTGAGCTGCACCTAAACCCCAGGAGCCGTTCGAGTGAAAGGCAAGCCCGGGCTGGGCTCTCACGGGCAAGGGGGCCTCATGATGCCTGAGGTGGCATGGGCTCCCAGGAGGGGATGAAGGTCCCCCCAACACACTCCTTCTCCCCAGGCGCCCGAACTTCTGAGGTTCCAGTTCTGAGGCCACCTGCATGGTCAGCCTATGCTTGTCCCTGTCCCAGGTCACAGACCACACTGGACCCTGCTGGCAGGACTGGTGTTTATTTCATCCCTGGCTCCAAGGTCCAGAGGTGACTGACCCTCGGTCCACTTGGGACTCCCAGAAGGACGTGGTTTGGGTTCTGTTGCCTGAAGCAGTGGCCTGGGGAGGTCAGCAGGGCACCCTCTGTGGTATCCACAGCCCATCCCCTGAGGCCACACTCCTTTCTGAGAAGTGTCCTCTGCATCCTTGTGAATCAGATGTTTATTGTGAGGCGGCGGCCCACTGCCAAGGAAACCCGTTCCAGGCCACTGGGTGGAGTGTAGGCTCATGCCTGCTCAAGCCTGTAGAAGGAGGTGAGGCCTCTGCCCCAGGCTCTGCCAGGCTGATTAGAGACAACCCCGAGGTGGTGGCGTGTGTGCTGGGGGGCAGGGGCTCCCCCACAGAGGGGGAGGCGGGAGCTGAGCCAGCAGGGCAGGCTTCCCGGAGGCTCCTGAGTCGGCACCGAGCTTCTCCAGGAAGCAGAGTGGGCACGTCCGCAGCATGGAGCCATCTGTGTCCCCTTCGTGTCCGAGCGACTGGGCTTCCGCGCCCTCCTTGTGAAGTGGGGTAAAGACAGTTGTAACTCATGGTCACCGAGCCCTCACTGTGGGCATCGGGGACCCTGTGAGGCAGCTCGTCCAACCCAGCTGGGGCCTCCCTGCCCTCCACCCTGCAGCTCCATCTTGAGGACTTCCTCCAGCCTTGCCTGAGGAGGTGTTGTAATCCCTCCCCTCTGTTCTGTGGCACCGCCCTGCAGCCCTGCCGACTGCCCGGAGGCGGGGGCAGGAGCCAGCCAAGCCCCCAGCCCAGCAAGGTGGGCCTTGGCTTGGCCCCACAACCTGGGGAGTCTGGGGCAGCACCCATAGTCCACCTGGAGCCCTGGCTGGGGGCTTGGGCCTTTGCTCCCACCCCAGCCCCTGACGCCGGGGCAATGGTGGACCCCCTTCAGAAAGCTGCCCCTCCGCTCTTCTCATGCATGCTGGGTGCCCTGAGTGCCAGGCCCTGGGCCAGACATGGACCTCAGGAGTGGACAGACCTGCAGGTCAGAGGGCAAGACCTGCTGACAGATGCCCACAGGTAGCAGCTCAGCCTGTCTGGCCCTTGCCATTCCCTCTCTCAGAAGTAGTTTAATAAAAGGCATAAGCGTTTGTGTTCAGGGGACCCTCCCTGGGCACCCCCGAGCTGGGCTGCCTCGCCTGCCTGACTGGGAACTCAAGAAGCACAGGGCCTCATCTGGGTGATGTGCCCAGCCGTGCCTACGTGGCCTGGCCCAGGGGAAGGGTGAGAGCAAGTGTGTGCTCTCCCAGTGGGAAGTCCCACAGGAGCATCTAGAGCAGCGGTTCTCAACCTTCCTAATGCCGCGACCCCTTAATACAGTTCCTCATGTTGTGGTGACCCCCAACCATAAAATTATTTTTGTTGGTACTCTTAACTGGCTTTCCCTGGTGAAGTGGTGTTGACAGTTGGCTTCCTGGTGTGTGCGTGTGCGTGTGCGTGCGTGTGTGTGTGTGTGAGTGTGCGTGTGTGTGCGTGTGTGAGTGTGCGTGTGTGCGTGTGTGTGTGTGAGTGTGCGTGTGTGAGTGCGTGTGTNAGCAGCGGTTCTCAACCTTCCTAATGCCGCGACCCCTTAATACAGTTCCTCATGTTGTGGTGACCCCCAACCATAAAATTATTTTTGTTGCTACTCTTAACTGTAATTTTGCTACTGTTATGCATCGTAATGTAAGTATCTTTTTGTTTTCCGATGGTCTTAGGCGACCCCTGTGAAAGGGACGTTCGACCTCCAAAGGGGTCACGACCCACAGCTTGAGAACCTCTGATCTAGAAGCTCCTGCAGACCTGAAGCACAGGCAGGCAGGCACACCGGCAGGCGAGGCTCTGCAGGCTGAGGCAGGGCCCGGCTGGGTCAGGCCATTTGAAGCTGGCTTGTCGCTCCCTGCCTTGCTTGTGTTTAACTCTGCTCAGTAGCAGAGACAAATGCGCCCTGTCATCCTGGAAGGTCCCTGCCGCAGGGTTGGCAGAGTTTTGGGGCAGATAATAATGAGTTATTGTGCTGCAGCCTTGCTCCAGACTCTCCAGGTTTGCATCACAGCCCTCCCCACCCCACCCCCGCTGCTCCCTGCTGGGGCTCCAGCTGTTAACCCTCCACAGTCACTACTGCTGCCCTGGGCCTCAGTGGCCCTGGAGCTGTACAGATGAGGAGACCGAGGCCTGGCCAAGTGTCCATGAGGTCACAGTGCTGGGGTGCTGGCCTTGGCAGGAAGGTCAGTCGTCAGCTGGGTAGGTTTGACCCTGGTGGGCAGAGGATAGAGTGGCTACGTCCCCTGTCCCTCGGCACAGGACAGGAAGTGGCTGCCCTTTGCCATCAGCACCATGGGGCCTGACCTCTAGGAATGCATGTGGCTGACAGGTGCTGGGTGTGATGCATAAGAGTGACCCCGGCAGTGGGCTGGACGCAGCAGAGGTGGCAGGCCACCAAGGCCTCCCTGCAGACCCACCCAGCTCTTGTCAGAGTCCATGGCCCTTGGGGTAGAGCCCCAGCCTCCACCGCCCTGCATCCCAACCCCGGTCTCAGGACCTTGTCTGTGCTGTACCCCTGCTGGCCGCCTTTCCCCCACAAGGTCCTCTTCCCTTTCTACCTTCTATCTTCTCTCAGATCCACCCAGGAAGAGAGATACACTGCTCTCAGGGGCCTCGCCCCAGCACTGTGCCTCCCGGCAAGTTACAGGCTGGGACTCCCAGTGCCAGCTCCTTGCCACATAGGGGAACCGCTCAGCGTGGGCCATGAGAGCAGGAGACTGGGGTGACTTCCCTTTGGGACCTCACTGGGACCCTCCTGCCCAGTTTGGTGGCAGACCTTGGGCTGGGCTGCCCTGAGGAGGCTGATGCCTGGTCCTTTTTTTCAGGGGAGCTGTCCCCGGTCTGGGGGAGGGGCCCAGAGAGAGCCCCAGGCTGGGGGCACGCCCCGGGTTTTGGCCCAGCCGGAGCTCACTTCAGTGGACCTGGCATCCACTTGCTGTAAAATGGAGCGAGTTTCTGAGTCCCCAACGCATCCTGGGCCCTGGGCCCCGGCCTCGTAAGGTTTGCCAGTTGGGCAGGAGCCCTCTGAGATCAGCCCTCCCATTTTCTTGAGAATGTGACCAGGAGGGTGAAGTGCTGTGGCTGGTGGTGGCCATGCCCTCTCTGGGGCGGAAGTCGCTGGGGGAAGGAAGAAGGTTGAGAAAGAGGACCCCTACCTCCGGGGAGGATCTGGGAGGACCTGCCCAAGCCAAGGTTCCTGCCAACTGGGCACTGAGGGGCAGCTGGCTCAGGGCTGGCGTCTTGGGAAACAGGGACGCAGCCCTACTCTGGGCCCAGGCCAGTGGCCTCCATGTTGATTCACCCACCCCCTCGCAGACCTGCACCCGTTCCAGCGGGCAGCACCCAAGGATGGTGCAGGAGATGCTGTGTGGGATACCCAAGGCGGGGCCCTTCTTGGGGCGGAAGGGGCGAGGCCGCGGGTCTGGCAGCGTGCTGGTAGGAGGCTCTGAAGGCGAGGCAGGGAGAAGGCCGAGGGGGCTGGAGGTTGGGCCCGGGGCGTGGGAAGGTTTCAAGCAGGGGCTGGTTTATGTTTTCAAAGCTCCGTCTGGGGTCTGGAGACCCCCACCCCCCAAAGCAGTGGCTGAAGAGGCTTGGGCAGGACCTGGGTGAGTGGTGGGGGTAGGGAGTCAGCGGACCAGGGCGGAGTCAGTGACCCCCACTGAGGGGCCACTGGGGCTAGGGGTGCGGAGCTGGTGAGACTGGGGCACTGCCTGGTAGTGCTGACTCCGCCCCCACCTCGTGGCCTCTGCTGGCTTTTCTGGCCAACAGTGCCATGACCCCATGGCTGTTTCCCTGGGGAGGGGGTGGTGTCCCTATAGGGACCACTGAGCCGTGCCTCCTCCCCCACCCCGTGTAGGCTGCCCCCACCCCGTGGCGGGGCCCCAGCCAGGCGGAGGCCTTGGGTACTGGTGCTTGGGGCTTGGTGCCCAGCCCTGCTGACTACCAGAAGCCACCTTGCCTCTGGGAACATCAGGCCATCGCTGGGTGAGAGCATTTGCCCTGTCCATGATGGCCCTACGATGGCCCCTCTGGGCCGATGGTGGGGCCAGGAGAGCACTTTGCTTAGAGGATCCAGTGCTCTAAGGCCCCTGTGCCAGGGGTGGGGCGTGGAGCTGCTGGGCAGACTGGAGAGCCAGGCCGTGGGGTGCACGGGGGTCTGAGGCTGTGATGGCCAGGGGCCCTGGCTGGAAGGGCCCGGCCCGGAGTCCCCGGGGGGAGTGGGGATGAGCCTCCGCCAGAGGCCCTCTTTTCCAGCCCTGCACTGGGCTCTGCGACCCCCCCAGACTGCCTGGGGACCCAAGGACATCACTACCCAGCCTCACTATGGGGCATCAGTGGGTGTCGTGGGTCCAAAGACAGGGCAGAAGTCTGCTTCTGGGGACAGTGTGAGGAGGCCAGGGAAGGGCATCGAAGTGTCCAGTGTGCTTGAGCACCAACCAGGAGAGGGCCTTGAACTTGAGAGCGAGCACAGCCGCCTCTGAGCGTCGCCTCTCTGCTGTGGCTGGGACAGGCTCAGAGCAGGGAGGGGTGGGTGGGGGATGGGACCACTAGCCTTAGAAAGGGGACAGTGTTCATGACGGCAGGACGGTTGGATGGAGAGCCTCTCCTGTCCCCTGCCCTGTCCGTCGGAGGCTGGGCCCGGGCTGCCCTGGGCTGGGCAGGGGAGGCAGAGCCAGGCCCCTTTCCCGCCAGCCCGGGGCCCACGGCCAGACCCTCTCCTCGCTGGGCCTGCGAACAACGGGGCAGTGTGAGGGTGCCTGGGAACAGGCAGGCCAGCCAGGCCCCCCGTGGCCCATGCTGAGGGGCCAGGACAGGAGCCAGCGGCCGTGAGCCATCCAGCCCAGCACCCAAGCCGGGGTTCCCAGGCTGAGGAGGAACACACTGCTCTCAGTTCCGTAACCCCTCGGGCCGGGCCGCTTCTCCTTCCTTCTTTTGCGCCCCGTCCTCTTCCTGCACCCTGCCTCTCACGCCCTCCCTCTGTGCTCTGTGAGCCAGAGACCCAGGCCCCTGCCCACCGCAGCACCGCTCTGCAGGCCTGTGGGTGACCCCAGGAGGTAGCCAGGGAGAGGACAAAACCCGGCCCAGACGTGTGATCTCCTGAGGCCACCCTGAACTTGACTCAGGAATAAAGTGGCCCAAAGTAAAAGACAATGCGATCAAATAAAAAAAAAAATCGCAGTAAAAATTAATCCACGGCGTCAAAGAAGAAAAATGTTTGAAAACAGCCTAACAATAGTAAGGGTAAAAGTAAATGGATCAAAACTGAAGAAAGACCCTAACATGCTGAGGTGAGCGGGAAGAGGAAGGGGACCCTGTTGTGTAGACGACAGCTTTGACGGGTTCCGGCCTGTGGCAGGGTGGGCAGGAGGCTAGGACCCACTGGACAGATGGGGAACCTGGTGCCTGGGCGGTCAGACCCGGGCCAGGGGAGCCTAGATTGGGGCCACACCTCATGACCCTGGGTCCTGGTGCCCTTTGCCTTGACCCAGGAGCCCTGACCAGGTGAAATGCTGTGAAGTGCCCAGGAGCTGTAGGGTCTGAGGGGGGCCACCATGGCATGAAAGATACAAAAGAGTGAGTAGTGGGACAGCAGCCAAGGCCGCTGACTGCTGCGGGAGTCCAGGCTGGTGTCCCTGGTGGCTTACCCTGGGATGCCCTGGCAGGTGGCGGCCACTGTGGAGGGCTCAGACAGCTTCCCTGGCACCACAGACAGCAGGTGTCCATGCAGTGTGCCCATTGTGGCTGACCTCTGGCCCCTACCCTTGGCTCCTGCAAACAACAGTGGGGCTGGACCTCTCTGGCCACCCCCTCTTACCCCCATCCCACACCAGCACAAGCTTCATGGCTCAGTATCTCCACTGGGTTTCCCTGTCACCTTATCCTGGTGCTGGGATCTGGGCTGAGCTGGGTACCCTCTACCCTCAGAGGCCCTGGGACCCAATGTTGGGCCAAGTGCTGGTGGTAGAGTCGCCGTGAGCTGCCTTCTTTGGTCTTCGGGGTGCTATTACCAACAAGCCCATGGCGGGGGTGAGGAAGCGAGGCTCAGGGAGTGAAGTGACTTGTACCAGGTCCCCGGTGCCAACAGCCTGGGGCAGGTCTGAGACACCATCCACACTCAGCGGAGTATGTGGTCCTGACAAGTGAGTCTGGAATGGGCCTGCCTCTGTCCCTCCTGTCTGAAGGTGTGTGCCTCCTCTCACCCCAACCCCAGGCCCTTTGCACAAGCTATTTCTTATCCAAGACACTTTCCATGTGCTCTCCCTGCTTGGCTACTTCATGTGAAAGATCCCTCCCAGAACAGTGGCTGATGTGTCACTATGTCTTGGCAGAATGGTTGTCACAAGGATGTGAGTCAGAGGTGGCTGCCTCCCCGGGAACCCCTGACAGAACGCAGGGCCAGCTTGGATTCTGGGGTGAAGTGTGGTATTTGCTGGCAGGTTGCAGTGCGCTGACTGTCTCCCTCTGTCCCAGCACCAGGAGAATCTGGGGGTCGGGGTAATGCTGTGTGCCGGAGAGACTGAGCCCCATGGTTCCAGCCCAGCCCAGCCCAACGGTAACGGCGTGCCATTCTCTGGCCTCAGTTTTGTCAGCTGCCTAGTAGGGTTCGGCCATCACTCTATAGGGATCCCCCTGTCTGTCAGGGACACCACACTGCTCTCTGAATATCTACACTGCCTGCTTCTGCAATTCATTTGCGTCTCTGTCCACACAGCTCAGCACTGAGTGCTGGGCCTCAGCGTTCCTCACAGCGCTGAGCCAACAGCTCCTGGGACAGCCTGAGTTACTGATGGGGAAACTGAGGCCCAGGGGAAACTGAGCTTCTTGGCCAGAGCTTGTTCCGGGGTGAACACCAGGCCCTCTGCGCCTGAGAGAACCAGCAGCAGTGAGCAGGGTCCAGGGTGGGGGCTTGTGACTGGCAGAGCCTCCTGACAGACTCCCCATGGGCTCTGGGGATAAGGTGAAAACCGGCAAACTGCACCCGGGAGGGTGGGCTGGCACATGTCTGTGTCCCCACTGGCCTCCTCTGCAGGGCCCGGAGCCCTCCTCCAGTGGCCCTCGGATGGCGGGTTTTCTGCCCAGGTGGGAGCCAGAGTAGGCCGTAGGGCTTCTCCGCCTTCTGCCCCTTAGAGCCAGGCTCCGCAGGACATGGGTGAGGTGATCCCGGGCTCGGGTCACATAGGCAGTGCTGGCTGGGCGGTCAGGGCTGCAGCCCACACAGCCTCCCTCCTCATCGAGAGAGCAGAGGTTCATCCGGGCAGCTGGGGACTAAGTGGGCCACGAAGTTGACACACTGGCACTGGGGAGACATTCTGAAGCGGGGGTGCATCCTGTCCCTGCCCTAGCCTATCGGCTTGGCCCTCCTGTCACAAGAGGTGAGTGTAGGCAGGAAAGTGCCCCCAGCCCTCATGACCCTCCTGCCTTGGCCTTAGCAGGTGGGGAGTCTTCCCCTGGAGGGTCTGGTTGGTGGCAGCCTCTGTTCTGGAAGGGACCGACCCCAGCTCTTGCCTGGCCGGGGTGGCAGTCCTGACAGCCAGCACCAGAATCGCCGTCCAGAGCCTTCCCGGGCCCAGCGAGTGTGTGCCGAGCGAGTCAGAGTGTGTGCGTGACCCGACTGTGAGCGCAGCCCCCTGGGAAGGGGAGAGGCGGGCTGGCTGGATTTGGGGAAGTCCTGCTCTCTGTGGGTTCGTGGTCTGGCTAGGAGTCAGTTCACTGACCTCAGAGGAGACCCTGTGTCCCCTTTTGAATGTCTCGACAAAGGTGCTTGGCAGATTTCTGCCAACCACATCCCCTTGGGCCCTGCAGGGTGGGCAGCAGCGGGGGGCTCGGCGGCCGGGGGAGGGTGCATGGTCTGGACCTCCCCGCGGCTCAGCAGGCGAAGGCTGCTTGCCTTGCTTTGTGACCAAGGACACTGAGGCTGGGGGAGGTCAAATGCCTGGCTGAGGTCACTGGGAGCGTGGCAGAGCTGGGCATGTCATGCAGCCAGAGGCCCCCCACCCCTGGGGATGGAGAAGTAGGGGTGCTTGGGGTGAGATGAACGGTTCCATTGAGCAAATGAGCCCCATGAACTGGACCCCTTGGAGACTAGGAGACATCTAGCTAGTGGGGGAGCCCCCATCTGTGCACGCTGCAGGAGGTACCTGGTGTGTGCTGGGCACACTGCAGGGAGGCACAGGAGCTGGGGAGGGGGGCTGTGTGCGGATAGTGGGATCCAGCCCTCAGGCAGTGCAGTCTGGACCAGGGGCTGAGGAGGCAGGAGTGGGGCCANGAGCGTGAAGGGGGACAGCATCTCCCAGGAGCTGGGGAGGGGGGCTGTGTGCGGATAGTGGGATCCAGCCCTCAGGCAGTGCAGTCTGGACCAGGGGCTGAGGAGGCAGGAGTGGGGCCGGGGAAGCGGAAGGATGGTACTCCAGGCGGAGCAAACCCCTGGGGCAAAGGCGTCTGACACCTCACCTCTGGGCCAGCCGGGAGTGCTCGAGGGTCCAGACCCACGGGAGGTTCGAGAGAAGACTCTCTCTTCCCTACATGACTGTGATGATGGTGTTGCCAATAGAAACCTGGGGACCAGGTGCCCTGGAGTAACCCCACCAACCATGCCAGGTGGTCCTTGGGACAACCCCACCCAGGGGCTGTCAGCCCCTCTCTTCAGATAAGGAGACTGAGGCTCAGAGTGGGCCACAAGGTTGGGGGGAGGGATTGAGCCGGGCCCGTTGCCGCAGAAGCCTGTCCTCTAACCACTGCACTGTCTTGCCTATTAAGATCACATGGGTAGGGCAGCGTCGCATGGTGGCAGACACAGACTGAGGCCTCTCTCGGGCATGGCACCCTGTGCACGGCCTGGGGCCTCGGGGTGCCCACACTGGCTGTGGTGCAGGGCTGTGAGCCTCCTCAGGCCAGGCAGGGCAGGGCTGGCGAGAGGGGCGGATTGCATCGGTGGGTGAGAGGCCAGGAACGCGGGGGTGGACGGGCCCCCACGTCAGCTCTCTGGAGAGTTTCATCAAGCAATGAAAAGGTGGAAACTTGTCAGTGTTATGATGAACTGAAGTGTGAATCCTGAACCGCTTCTGCTGAGTTGTGGTTTGAGGCGGGAGAGGCCCAGGCAAGCGACACCGCCAACCTACCCCTCCACAGTCCCACCCACCCCTCGCCACGGCCTGCCCCTCGGCCTGGAGCCCCTGCCCAGCCATCCTCCCTCCTAGGGAGCCTCACCCTGTCCAGGGCATGGCTGCAGCGGGCTCTGTACCAGGCATGGCCCTGACTGAGGCCCAGCTCTGCTCCAATCCTCGAGGGGTACTGCCCAGCTCGGCAACATTTGTGGGAGGCAGAGACCCCAGGCCTGGGAGAGGAAGGCCCCTGGATGCTGTGTGGCCGGTGGGGCATCGGGGTGTGTGGGCATTGTGAGTCCTCTGTGGGGTCCCAGGGTAGAAACCCCACCCTCCTCCCAGTTTGGCCATCACCCTCAGAAGCCCAGGCCCTGGTCAGGCAGCGGTACATGTAGGCTTCTTTCTGCACTGCCCCTAATTCGCTCTGGCCTTGGACACAGGACTGGCCAGACTGCCTCCACCTCCATTCTGGGAAGTCCTGAGAGGCCCGTGGTTACCTCCTTGAGCCCAGCACACTGCTGTCTCCTGGGGACAGGGACGCTGTCTGGCTCAGAGGTCCTGGGGCATGGCTGGACCTTGGCTGCAGCCACGCTGCCCTTCACTTGTGGTTGAGGGTCCGATAGGCTGTAAGTCACAATTCTTTACTCTGGCTCTGAGCAACGGTCCAGGCATGTCAGGGCCTTGGCCGTGTGTGGACATGACACTGAACCCATTTGTCCATCCACTGGTCTGTCTCTCGGCCCTGCTGTGGGCCAGTCACCGTCCTGGGCCTAAGGAGGCTGCTGGGGAGATTCTCGTACATGTGGTGACACTCTGGTGGGCAGGGCTGTGCCATTAACAGAGATTTCAGGGCTGAGGTGGTGAGCCAGGCCTGAGGGAGGCTGTGCACATCCAGGAAGCCCAGCTCAGATTTTCCCCGTCCAGCTGGATGCCTACTGGGCGCTGCCCACAGAGCCAGCCTGTCCCTGCACGCCATACCCAGGACTTCAGGTCACCTGGGAGTGGAAGCCTATAGTCAACCAGAGAAAGGACGTGTGCAAGTCTCCAAGACCCCGTGCGTAATAGTTTCCCACGGCTTCTGAAACAAAGTACCGCACGCTGGGGGCTTAAAACAACAGAATTCACCTCTCACAGCTCTGGAGGCCAGAAAGCCAGGAGGCTGGAGGAGAGAGGGAGAGCCTCCCTTCCTTCACTCTTCCAGCCTCCGGTGACCGCTGGCCATCCTTGGTGTCCTGGGCTTGTGGCTGCACCACGCCACTCTCCACCTCTATCTTCACATAGCCTTCTCTTCTGTGTCTTTCTTTTTTTTAAGATTTTATTGGGGAATTGGGGGAGGGGAACAGTGTTGGGGAATTGGGGAAGGGGAACAGACAAGTTATTGTCCTTTGATCTTAGTTGTGGAGGACGCAGCTAGCTCAGCTCCAAGTCCAGTTGCCATCCAGCCACCTGTCGGCAACTTATGGCATCTCAGCTCAAGGTGCCGTGTTCAATCTTACAATAGTTGCGGGTGGGCATAGCCACCATCCCATGCGGGAGTCGAACCAGCAACCTTGTTGTTAGGAGCATGTGCTCTCACCAGCTGAACCATCCTGCCACCTGTTGGCAGCTCAGCGGCAGTTCAGCTCGGGCGCAGCTCACTGGCCCATGTGGGAATCGAACCAGCGACCCTGTTGCTCAGCGCTCATGCTCTTAACCAACTGAGCCACTCAGCCGTCCCTTCCGTGTCTTTTCTATAAGGACACTTGTCTCTGGACTTAGGATCCATCTGGCTTCCAGGATGAGGTCCTTAATTTAATGACAGATGCAAAATCCTTTTTCCAAATGAGGTCACGTTCAGAGTCCACTGGGATCAGGACTGGATAGATCTCCCTGGGGGCCCCTGTTCAGCCTCCTGTACTGGGTGACCCCAGGCGAGCCCTGCCCTCTAGGGCACCCGCTCCCTCTGCCATCCGGATGGTGCTTGCAGCCCTGCTCTGGAGGACAGGACAGGTCACAGCCCTGTGATACTGAGAAACATGAGGCTGGTGGGAGGGGGGGCATGGCCGAGAAGCCAGGTGGGCGCGTCCTCAGGCTGGCTGTGGGGGGCCCAGGCCTTGTGGAGGGCCATGCATCTTATTTTGAGAGCTTGAGGCTTTCCCCAGAGCGGGTGCCAGCCACCCTTACCTGGGCTTAGCACCCTGCCTAAATCTGGCAGTCCATCCTTGGCACCTTCAGTGCCTGAGCTGCCCCTGGCAGGTGGGTCACCGGCCTGAGCATGGGAGGGTCTCTGGGTACCTATGGGAGAGCAGGGGCCGGAGACCCCAGAGACGTGGTTCCAGTCCCCACGCCTTTGTTCCCTGACTTGGCACAGCTGGTGTCCCCTTGTCTGCACCTCAATGTCCTCATGGCCAGTGCAGGGCCGACAGGACCAGCAGTGTCGCACTGGGCATCTGCCTCACTCCTAAGCAGGCTGAGGGCCCCAGCGGCCCGGAGTGAAACCTCTCCCTCCCTCTTTTTTTTCAGGCTGACCCTTGGCCCCTCCCCAGCGGTGCTGGCTGGCTCCCACCCACCCTGGTAAGTGCCCTGTGTTCTGCATGCTGGGGTGGTCCCTCGGCACTGGGGCAGGGGGAGGAGCTGCAACTTGGGATAGGTGGAGTGGAGGACCAGAGCTGCCCAGTGCAGGGACCCCAGCCACAGCCTAGCCCCACACGTCTCCCGACTTGGATGTCGGAGTGGGGTCATTGCCGTGGTTATTTCCAGCACAGTGTAAAAGGTCATGGAGCCACCATTATTGGGGAGAGGAGGGCTGAATGTTCCGTTTCCGGGAATATGAATGGCAGTGTTATTTATTTGCTGCAGGGGTGAAGCTGCCTCGGGAGATGGGAGGACACGTGGGGAAACAGGCCCAGAGAGGAGGGGCCTGTAGGGGTAGCACTGCCGCCCGGGACTCCTGAACTCAGCCTTCTGTAGGGACACTAGATCGGACCCCCACAGGGATCCCTGTGCCTCTGCTCTGGGCTGTGACTCCCACTGCGGCATCCCTGGGCCAGGGCCCTCTGCCCACGTCACCTGAGCTGCATTTCTGGGCTTGGGGACCCTTGGGGGGCAAGGGCACGGGGAGGCTCTGGCGCCTGCTTGACCTCAGGCCTCGCCCATCCTTCACCTGTCCAGTGAGGACTAGGATGGCCCCGGGACGGCGGGTGGCTCCCCGTTCTTCCCTCAGCAGGTTCTCATCCCCATGCCTGCACCCCAGCCTCCCCCAGGCTCGGCCATCTAGTCGCGCGCATGGACTCCTCCCCACCCTGGGACGTGGCTCACCCTGAGCCCCCTGCTCTGCCTTTGACTTCCTCCCACCCCCCTCGGTCAAACCTGGCACCTGCTGTGGACCCCACAGCTCCTTGAGGCCCCCACGCTGTCCCGGAACTGCCCCTCTGGCCTCTCCTGGCTGGCCCATGGCCTCGGGGCTTCTCACCTGCTATTTTATCTCAATGCTCAGCACCCATTTCACAGATGAAGACACTGAGGCTCAGAGAGGCTAAGTCAGTAGCTTGAGGCCACATAGCTAGCAAAAGATGTGTCCCCAGCTGTGTCTCACTTGGGAGCCTCTACCTGCCCTGGGCAGGCTGCAAAGGGGAAGGGGACCAGGCCCCACTGAACCATCCCCTTGCCACCATCTGTCTGTCTTGTCGTGGCCAGCTTTCTGCTGAAGGCATGGCCTGCCCTCGGCCACCTGAGGACGTTGAGGCTGGCACAGGAGGCCAGGGTGGCTGCACCCACCCTGAGGAGCGCTCAGACAAAACACCTGAGCTCCTCGCCATCCAGGATGGCACACCTGGCCCTGACTTGGCCCCCAGGTGGCACTGGGCCCTGGCAGAGGCCCCCAGCCTGGGAGCCGCTCTCCTCCAGCGCCCTGACACACAGGTACATGGGCCAGATCGGTGCTGGCACAGCCAGTTGTGGCGGCTATGCCCTAGGAAACCTGGTGGACAAGACGAGGCCTTTGTAACTCCCAGGGACCCTGTGGCCCGTCACCCTCAAATCCTGCCGTGGGGGTAGCCCCAGAGCTCTCCTTCCTCTGGGAAGGGTAGGACCTTCAGACCCAAGCTCAGGGGACAGACAGGGGATGTGGCTTCTCAGCAGCAACAGGCCAGGGCTTGAACCCCTGCCCCCTGGCTCCCTGACTGTGCACCTGGGGAGGGGAGGATCTGAGCGTGGTGGACAGAGCCGCGCAGGCCTGGCGGGGGCTGCATTCCGAGAGGGACCAGGAGTGACGGGAGTGTGCTTTGCCCTTCAGGTCTTAAGCGCTTTCTAGCAAGCCTGGTGTTCGCAGAGGCTGTGCCTGGCACTGGGCAGTGGGAGGGAGGGTGATAGGGAAACGCCTGTGCCCAGGCTTAGAACCAGTGTCTTGGTCCCTTGGTGTCAAAGGGCAGAGAGGTGACCACCCTGAAACCTGAAAGGTTCCTGGTACAAGAGGCACAGCCCTTCTGTGTGGCCTCAGATGGCAGAGCTAGGTGGTAGCATCTGCATTGGTGGCAGAAGCATGATGGGAGATAGTGAGCCCCCAGTGGGGGTATAAGCACTGGCTTCTGGGCTGGGTGGGGTGGCTTGGGGGCCAAGCAGGCTGTGCCTCAGTCTCTGGGCTGTGAGGGGCTTCGGTGGTTTGATGGGGAGAAGCTGAGTGTGCAGAGGCGGCCGTGGGGGATCGGCGGGGAGTTTCCTCCCGGGGGACACAGCTGGCCTTGCCCAGGGCCTTGGAGCGCTTGGGACTCTGACCACAGAGCGGGTAGGAGCTGGGGTGGTTAAAACCCAGCAGGCCGAACAGAACAGCATGAGTGGGCGCAGCCCTGGGCCTCAGGACTCACAGAGCAGAAGGCAGGAAGTATCGGCTACTGGGGCTGCCCAGGGACTGGCAACAGGAAGTCCCTTGGGGGAGGAAGCCCTAGTGGTCACAGGCCCCAGATGCAGCCGGCAGCTGGCAGCAGGCGGCTGTCAGCAGGAGGGAGCGCTTTGGGCAGCACAGGGGCACCAGGCCTCAGCAGCCTGGGGATGCAGGCCACAGCCGGGCCCCATGGCCCCTGAGCCACATGGACACCTTGGGCCCCAGGATGCCTGCCCCCCACCTGTCACCCGGCAGAAGGAGAGCCATGTGCTGGATTAGTGCCATCAGGTCAGTGGGTGGCCCTGGGACTCGGGGTTCGGGAGGTGGCGCCGGCCTGTGCCCTCAGAACCACTTGAGGAGGCCCCACGTGGGAGACGGCCCCAATCGTGGTTGTGGTGGGGACCCACAGGACCCTGGGCACTCAGCTGGGGTGGGGGCCCAGGCCAGGGTGAGCCACCCCCCACACACCCTGCCGGGATGGCCTTGACATTTGGGTCCTGTGTGCGTACACAGTGTGTGTGAGTGTTGTGAGAGATGTTGTGAGAGTGTAACTGTGAGTGTGAATGTGAGTGTGCGTGACTGTGCGTGTGAGGGACAGACAGCGCTGCCTGCCTGGGGCCTGGCCCAGAGCTGAGGAGCCTTGGGGGACCTGCCGGCAGGGGGCTCTCCCTGTGGCACTCCCTGTGGCATGGCTGGTCACCAGCCTTCATAGAAGGTTTTTGGTTTTGATTCTTTTATGGAGCAAGATTCTGGGAAGAGGAAGAGAGAGGGGAAACCGAAAGAGAATAAATGTGCTGACTGTGAGGCACTAGGGTCCCTCCTCCTCCCTGCTGCTGTCACTCCACTGCCACCTACTGCCACCTGGGCCAGGCTGGGGAGTGTCTGTGCTGGGCAGGGGGCGAGTGCCCCACCATTTACTGCTATGGGACCTTTGGGTGAGTTACTCAGCTTCCCTGGCCCTTGGTGTCTTCATCAGCGGCATGGGTGTGATGCAGGTTCACAGCTCAGGGGTGTGGGGAAGGTGACATGGTCCTCGAGAAGCACGGAGCCTGGCCTGTGGTGAGTGCCCAGTGCATTTGGTTCTCAGAGCCCTGAGCCTCCTCTGGCCTCTGTGTCCTAGTCTGTAAAGTGGGACTAAAGCACCGAGCCTGTGAGATTTAAGGAGCTGTCAGGTAGAACTTGGCCCTGGGCCTGGGCAGGGCTGGAGGTGGTGGTGATGATGTGACCTGTGCCCAAGCTGCCTGCCCAGGGCACTGCGGGCCACCATGAAAGGCCCTGTTAGCCCCTGGAGGCTGTGTGTCTGTGTGTGTACATGTGAGCGAGTGAATGAGTGTGCATACAGGTGAGTGTGAATGGTCCCATGAGAATGGGTGTGAGTGGGTGTGTCCATGTGTGTGAATGAGGTGTGCATATGTATGTGAGTGGGTGTACATGTATGAGCATCCGAGTGTGCATGGGTGTGTATGAGTGCACATGTGCCTTTGTATGAGAGTGAGCGTGTAAGCGTGCATGCGTGTGGACAATGACTGTGTGTGAGGGTGTGAATAAGTACATTGAGGGGCCTGGCCCATACCAGCCCCACTTCACCCTGTGTCTCCCACAGACAGGCCAGCCTGGTCACCACTGACAGGAACCCCCACACTGTAGTCACACGAGGCGCCAGCTCCCTCACCACAGCCAGGGCCATGTCTGCAGGTGTCAGGACAGCCTGCCGGAGCGTAGCCCCCCAAACCCCACCCCCAGGCTCCACTCTCATGCACAGCTCACACCTGTGCACGCACGTGCACACCTGCGGACACACATAAAACCCACATTTAAGCTGTGCAGCTCACACACATTCTGTCTGAGTGCACCGTCCATTACATTGACCACGAAGGCAGACCCACAGCTCACATTGGGCCTGTGCAGGAGATGACACCCTCCTCTGGGGCACACAGCCCCACCATGGGCACGGCCACAGAGCCTACACTTTGTGGAACGCAATGGGGGCTGTCCCTGTGGAACTGAGCGGTTTCCACCCACCTGCCCTGCCCCACTCCTGCACCTCTGGCCTTGGGTCACCTACATGTAGACCAGTCTCAACTTTGAGAGAAAGTGGGGGATGAGCACAGAAGTAGAGACCCAGAGTCACCTTCCCTAGTGCACACGCACCTGCTGGAAGGGCCCATGGAGCCCAGCGGCCACCACGCCCGCCACCCGACACTGACCTGTGTCTCCAGAGCCCCTCCAGGCGGCCCCTCCAAACCTCTGGGAATAATGCCCCTCACAGCACGGCAAGCCTGGAAAGCGAATGCTGACTCTGCTGCAGGCTCTTTGGGTGGTCTCAGTCCCCTGAGGGGATGGACCTGTCACTGTGCTAATGGGTGTCTGGTCACTCTGAGGAGTGGACTCTCCGTGCCCGCTTTGAACTGGAGAAGTGGAGGCTCAGTGGAGGATGGGCCTGGCAGGATTTGAACCCAGGTCTCCAGCATTGTCCCTGACAGCTCCCACCTTGGGGGGGCTCAGCGGGTACCCCTCTCAACACAGTAAGGGGTCCCCACTGGGGTGTCTGCCCCTGTAGAGAAGGGGACGGACTGAGGTTCCCTGCACTGAGCTGGCAGGAAGGCCTGTGGGGGACCCTGGGGAGAATGGAGTTTAACCATCAGGTCACTGGGGTTAGAGTGACACCGTGGGCATTGAGGGAGACAGCGGGAGGCCAGGCAGGTCAGGAGTGTGGGTACCTCTTGGGCACTTCCCTCAACTTTCCCGGGCCCCAGTGGAGCTGGAATTTGTGAGCTGAAAGTCCCCAAAAGCTATGTGGCCACCATAGCCCATCATCACCCTTACCCTCAGCTACCACTTCCCACTTTCTGCTCCAGCCTTGCCTAGCACTGGGCTTCTGGTCGGGAGCCAGGCAACCCAGCTCACCCACTGGTACAGGGCAGGGCCGTTGGTGGCCAGAGGGTGTTGGGGTGTCAGGATGGGCTTCCTTTGGACGGCCCGTCTCTGGAGAGAGGCTGCGACATCGGTGAGGATATTCCCAGGGAAGGTGTACATGGAGCACAGCCTGGCCCTGTCACAACCCACCCTCCCCACCCAAGGTCAGTCAGCGGCCACCTAGGAGCCCTCTGAGGAAGTGCCAGGTCAGGTTACATTACTGTGCAAATCAGAGGTCTAGGCCCCGACAATCTGGCCTGAGACCTTGCAAACCAAAGCCAGCAGGCAAGCACCTCTCTCTCCATTTCCCTCCCCAGTGAGGCCCTCAGGCCTGAGCCTGCCTGGCCATTGAGCTGAATGGGAGTGGGGCTGTGGGCCGCCCCAGCTACCCGCCCCCCACCCCGACCTCACCCAGGTGTGGAGCCAGGAGCAGGAGGCTCTGTCTGTCCTCACAGCAGCTGCCCCCATCTCACACACATGCCAGGTCTCCTTACAGATAGGGGAGGATGCGATACACCGGGATGCTCTGTTTTGGCTTCCTTTGACATCCATGCAACTGCAGTCCTTACCACCCACCAGGGTCAACATTCTATACCCCTTTTGGGGCTCCCTTGGTACCCGCTTTCTGCTGGGCCTGAGCTGGTGAGGATGGGGGACAGTGACCCCTTAGGGGTCAGGGAGGACTTCCTGGAAGAGGGGACACTGGAGCTCATTCGTCTTTCATTTTGGGGTTGTTCTTTGCTAGCATATAGAAATAGGACTGATTTTTGTGTATTGACCTTGTATCCTGCCACCTAGCTGAGCCTGTTTATTAGTTCCAATCATTTTTTTAGTGGATTCCTTAGAATTTTCTATGTACATGATCATTTGATCTGTGAAGCGCCACTTCTTCCTTTCCAACCTGGATACCTTGTATTTCTTTTTCTTACACAATGTTGAATAGCAGTGGTGAGAGCAGACGTCCTGGCCTTGTCCCTGACCTTCAGGCAAAGCATTGCATCTCTCACCACTGAGTGTGGTGTGAGCTCTGGGTTTTTCATAGATGAGGTTGAGGAAGTTTCCTCTTATTCCTAGTCTGTTGAGTGGTGTTCTTATGAAGGCTTGTTGAATTTTGGCAAGTGATTTTTTTTTTTCCTGAAACGATCATGTAGTTTTTGTCCTTTATTCAATTGATCTGATGTATCACACTCATTGAATTTTGAATGTTAAACCAACCTTTCATTCCTGGGATGGATCCCACTTGACATGGTGTAGACCTAGCTTGCTAAATTCATAAGGGATGTTGGTCTGTAGTCTTCTTTTTTTGCCATGTCTTTGGTTTTGGTATCGGGGTAATGCTGGCCTCATAGAATGAGTTCCTTCCTCTTCCGTTTTTGGAAAAGTTTGTGAAGGATTGGTATTCATTTGAGCCAGCTCTTGGGCTGGCTTAGTTCAGCTGCAACCTACAGGCAGTGGGCGCTGCACAGAGGCCTGGAGGAGGGGGCCTGGTGGATTCCGGTAAGGAGGAGGGGGCCTGGCCAGGAGGTGCCAAGCAGGAGGAGAGCGGTGAGAAAGGCGGAATCCAGAGGACCAGGTGGGCCCGAGGAGGACCTGGAGATGTGTGTTGGAGAATGTGCTGAGTGGCGAGAGATGGCGGGAAGACTGGAGCTAGGGGAGAGAATTGAGAGGAAGTGGTGGGGGGCTGCCCAGAGGTGGCGGGGGAGAAGCCTGGGAGGAGAAAGAGGCTGCCTTGTACAGTGTGGAGGAGGGAATGGCAAGGGCACTGGGAACAGAGGCGCAGAGGCAGGATGGAGCCTCGGTGTGGGGGCACAACAGGGAGAGGTGAAGGTTGGTTGCAGTGGGCGGGGCCCTGAGAGACAGCCCGAGGTGGAGGCCAGGAAACCAGAGACGGGAGCCCTGTATGGACAGCTAGGTGGGAGCAGGGCCCGGGCTGTGAGAGCTGCTCTCTGCCACAGGTGGCCCATCTGGGTGGCAACCTGCATGGAGGTAGGGTGGAGGAGTCAGAATGCTTGGGAGGCCAGCAGGGGCCTTCACCAGCCTTTGGCCAGCCTCGGGGTCTCCTGGGGGAGGAGCCCACATATGCCAAGCAGGTGGGGGCTACCGACGACCAGACCCCCGACTCCTGTAGGGAATCTGAGGTGGAGGCCCATAACATCAGGTAGGTGAAGCCTGCCCACGAGGCGGCACGAAGTGCAGCAGACCTGCCTGGGGTCTGAGTGCATGCCAGCCTACGCCGCGCACTCAGCCGCCGGACCTGCCTCAGCCCCACCACGGGCCCTCGGAGGCAGGGCGGTCTTCACCCCACTTAAGAAGTATAGACAGAGATCTAGGGAGGAGAAGGCCCTTTCCCAAGGGCGCTCGCCAGCCCTGTGCAACTGGGACCTGTCCGGGGCCTTCCAGCGCTGGTACTCTGCAGTGTTGGAGCTGCGAAGCTACTGCCTCGTTTGCATCTGTGGCTTTTTTTTTTTTTGGGCTGCACTTTAGACGTTCGCTTCGCGCCCCACAAGGCCATCCTCAGTGGAGCTGATGGGGAAACTGAGGCCCGGAGGGGGCGACCCCACAGGGTGACGGGCACAGGGGCAGCGCTCCTCACCTGCCCCCGGGCCAGCCCCGCCCCCTAGGGAGGAGGGGGCGGTGCAGGAGGCGGGGCTCCTCACCTGCTTTTGGGCCCCACCCGTGGGGGCGGAGCCAGCAGCGCGGTGCTGGGGGCGCTGGGCCCGGGACGCAGCGGCATGGCAGGCACTGGGCTCCCGCCGCGTAGCTGCGGCCGGCGGGAGAAGGGCGCCGGGGGTGAGGCGGCGGGAGGGCCCGGCCTGGGGCCGTGTCGGTGTGCGCAGGGCAGGCGGTCCGTCCTCCGGAAGCCGGCGGTGCCTGCTGCGTGGACACCGTGAGTACCGAGCCCCGGCCCGACCCCGAGCTCCGGACCCCGGCCAGCGCCTCCTGCGAGAACAAAGGCGGGCGTGGGCCAGCCCCAAGCGGGCGGTCTGGGGGCTTCGGGCGGGGCTCGGGCCTGTCTGTAGGCCAGCACCTCCCTGTGGGTGGGTGTGGTGGGCACAGGCACCTTCCTCTCTCCCCACGCGGGGCTCCGTCTGGGCCAGGCGGCACAGGGATGGGTGGCCGCGCCTTTGTTCCCAGCCTCTGCTGCTGTTGGGTGCCTGGCTGGAGGGGTTGGCTTTGCGTGCGGATGGAGCCGCAGAGGGCAGCCGGAGGGACAGGGGCAGGGACAGGGGCAGCCGGGTCCCTGGAGGCGGGGAACGTTTTCTGGAGGGTGCTGCTTTGCTAAGAGCAGAATGGTTATGGTGGTGTGTGCTTTGGGGCACCGGGCTGTAGTGGCAGGAGTCCCAGCAGGACTGGGCCTCCGGGTCTGTCGCTAGCTGCCCCCCTACCGATTCCACTACTGACCACACACCTCCAACTCCACTGGGGCCTCGGGAGGGGCCAGGCCCTGGGTGGGGTGGGGGCGGGCACAGACATAACAGTGCAGGGTTGGGAGCGCTGTTGAAATGGACCCCCGGTGCTGGGACAGCCTAAATGTGACTGGGCATGGAGGTTCCTCACAGAATAGGGGACTCAGAATCTGGGTTTTGAAGGATGAGTAGGAGTTTTCCAGGTGAGGTGAGGCCAGAAGTGTGAATCAGCCTGGCAGGTTTCAGGGAAAGCAGCTGGAGTATGAGGAGGAGGCTAGAGAAGGGGCAGGCCTGACACTGAGACCTGGGATGTAGGTTCCTGTAGGCTTTGGTTAACCCGAAGACAGCTGTCTCTGGTGACTGCACTGTGTGGCTCCTGCCCAAGCAATGCCCCAGGCTGATGGGGAGACAGGGTGGATACCATTCAACCCACCACACTGTTGTCATGGCCGCTGCTGATGAGGGCGTGCTGGCAGCATCTGCTCTGTCCTCTTATTTTACAGCTCCAGCCCCAGGCTTAGGGATATCCCATAGGCTAATCTAGGGTGTCTGACCCGGGAACTAGGGGATCTTGGCCACCTACTTTCCTACTTCTTGGTCGCAGGGCCTTAAGAAAGGGATAAACAGAAGCCAGCTAAGGGCAGGCAGGAGTGGAGGGTGGGGTGTCTGGGAGCGATGTTGCTCCCTCCCTGCTGAGAGTCACAGCTCATGGAGAGGGTGCCTAGGACCTGCCCCAGCCGCTGTACCTCTGTAACTCTCTCCTTCCGGTTGTGACTGGCGTTACCTTCTCCCAGAAGCCCTCCCTGACTTCCCGCGCAGGGCAGGTCTCATTCTAGGCTCACCTGGCACTCGGACTTGGGGTGGGCAAGGCCTAAGGTCTGACTTACCCGGGTCAGTGGTTTCCTGAGTTCATTTACTGCTGTACCCCAGCCCGCATGAGGCCTTGAGCTCAGTAGGTGTGTGCTGAATGAACCAGTGACAGTGAAGGGATGCGCTTAGCTCTCAGGGTCCCTGGGGGTCAGGTATGTGGCCGAATGTACCAAGGGCTGACCAAGTGATCCAGCCGGCCCTTTCCCCCAGGGGTCCCAGCGGGAAGCCTTAGGCCTTCGGAAAAGGGGCTTTCTGATCCCTTACTGCCTTGAATCTTCATGCTGTCTCCAGGATCTTGGCAGTGTCTCTCTTGCATGTCCCCAACTAAGACACCTGTCCCCCACCCCTGAGACATTTCACCTTCTATCGCCTGCAGCTTCATGGCGGCTGAAGAGATGCACTGGCCTGTCCCCATGAAGGCCATTGGTGCCCAGAACCTGCTGACCATGCCTGGGGGTGTGACCAAGGCTGGCTACCTGCACAAGAAGGGTGGCACCCAGCTGCAGCTGCTCAAATGTGAGTCCCCTGTGGCAGGGAGCACGATGGGAGGACATGGGGACAGGGCCGAGCCTGGTCCTGCTGCCCTGCTGGCGTCCTTGGACAAGTACCCTGCCTCTCTGAGCCTTGGGCTCCTTACATGGTGGGCTCTCTTGAGTTTCCCTTCCCTCCTTGGGGGCCGCCACCCCTTGGGGGACCTGAGGTCAACCTCCTCAGCTCATTCACAAGCTCTCTGAGCTTCTTTGCCTCCTCCCTTGCTGTGCCAGCCTGTGGTGGAAGGACCTCCCGCAGCCCCGCAACAGCCAGCGAGGCGGCTGTGGCCTCCCTGGGCCTCTGGCCCTGGCTCTGCCCTTCCTCACAGCCATTGTCCCTGGGGGCCTGTGATAGCTCTGCACAGCCCCCCAAACCTACCCCTGCCCTGGGGCTGGCCAGCATGCCCATGAATTTGTCCACTTTTGACCCCACAGTGGACTCCCGGGGAGGTGGCAGCATGCCAGCCCGGCTCCCTACCCTTCCATTCATTGGGGTTCAGAGCCTGGTCCTGGGTTGCCCAGGGCCTCCGGGAGAGTGTCCAGAGTGGGGTTTGCCCAGTGGCCCCTATGGCTCACCACCCACCCTCGCCCTGGCACCCGCAGGGCCCCTGCGCTTTGTCATCATCCACAAACGATGCATCTACTACTTCAAAAGCAGCACGTCCGCCTCCCCACAGGGCGCCTTCTCGCTGAGCGGCTACAACCGGTGAGTGCCCGCCTGCCGCTGACCCGGCCCCCCCTGTCGGCTGCTCCTCTCAGCACCCCAAAGAGCTCTGGCTGCCCCTGCCCCTTATTCCCGCCCAGACTCCCGAGATGGCTTATGTCCCCACCCCTTGGGACCATGTCCAGCCTTGGCCACTTCTTCTCGGCCTCCCTGATGTCAGCTTTTCCTCACGGTCCAGCTCTAGGCCTTTGCTGAGAGCCTGGGGGCGAGGCTGGGCTTCCTGTTGCTTCATCGGCAGGTCTCAAGTGTTGGGACAGTCTGATCTCCAGAGTCCCCGTATGGCCACTGCTTAGTGGTTTCTGTGTCGCTCCCCACCTGCCCCCTTACCCACCACCGCCTCTTTCTAGGGGGCCAGGAGCCCAGGCCACCCCAGGCTGGTCTCAGGCCACGCTGGCTCCAGGGACCTCCCTGGCTGGGGCCAGCGTCCTGCTTCACACGTGGTGTGAGCTGGGGCCGTCTGGTGAGGGGCCGCGAGTCTACCCTCGAGGGGCTTCCAGGCCATTGCGCAGGCGAGCACTGGGCCAGAGCCCTCTGGGTGGGATGGGGCGTACTGGTGTGTTTGGCCCCTTAGCCCCACCTGGGTCCACCTCACTGCCTCGGGGCGTGCAGAGCGGGTAAAGTGGGCTCCTGGGTTTGACTCTTGGTTTGGCACCACCAGGGCCCGGCATCCTATGGCGTTAGTCCTGCTTATAAGGAAGCGAGGGGCCCATGGTATCACTGGTGGAACTGGGACCCTTAGGGCGTGACTCTAGACCTGGGCTCATACCCTAGCCACAGGCTCAGAGGGGGAGCCCTGCCCAAGCACCCAGCCCAGTGACAGGCCCTCAGGCTGGCCGGGCACTGCCGAGGAGAGGAGGTGGCTCCAGGGCCCTGTGGATGCCAACAGGCACTGGTAGATCAGAGCTCGGGGGTTTCCTGGGGAGGGATGTTTTCTTTCCCCAATCTCACCACACTTGGCCTGGTTGGGGTGCAGCCTTGTTTCAGGGGATAGTCCAGGCCCTCTGATGGGCCAGATGGGCACAGCTGCCCGAGGTGCCCAGCCTGGCAGGGCCCTCCCACCGTAGACTTTGTGATCTCTGTGCAAACCCCACATCCTGGCTAGGGGAGCGACCACAGTGAGTCACTTCCTTGAAATGCTCTCCAGGCTGCTGCCGGACAGTAGGGGCAGGCTCGGCCTGACACAGAGCCCCATAAGCGTCCACGACAGGCAGGCCAGCGGCCAGGCAGGGCCTGAGATGGGAGGGTGGCATCCACGTAAAGTGGCACTCGTGGGCAGCGAGGGTGACACATCCTTGTCTTGGAGCCCCACATGCTGCTGCCTCCAGGACGCCCTCTGGGACCCCAGCGCCCGGCCTGCTCACCGCCCACCTTGCCCGCATGCTCCCCTTTCCATGAGACGCCTAGGCCCTCGCCCCACCATCTAGATCTGCCCGTGTCCTGGGGGCATCGCACTGGATGCCAAGACCTGTGTAGGGGCAGGTCAGTGTCTATGGGCATGGACCATGTAGTGACCACTGGCACTGTGTCCTCAGGGTGATGCGGGCGGCTGAGGAGACGACGTCCAACAACGTCTTCCCCTTCAAGATTGTCCACATCAGCAAGAAGCACCGCACGTGGTTCTTCTCAGCCTCCTCTGAGGACGAGCGCAAGGTGACTAGGGTGGGGCCACTGGACCCAGGGTCCTGCCGCCCCATTAGCCCCGGCAGGGAGCTGACAGGGCCTCTGAGGGGATGTGGCTGGGGCATGGGCAGCTGGGCAGGTGTGCCCCTCAGTGCCCTTGAGCACACGGTTCCAGCACCACACGCTCAGAATCTGCTGTCTCAGGGTGAGCCCTGAATGGGCTGAGGGAGGCCGCAGTCCCTAGAGGGCCAGCCAGGGTCGACTTGCCCTACCCTGGTGGTCACTGCAGGCCAGTGGGGCAGTGAATGGAGGAGGGGCAAGGGTGGGGCCCTGCCCTGGGCAGCACCATGCCCACTGCGGCCCTGGGTGACCCACAGAGCTGGATGGTCTTACTGCGCAGAGAGATCGGCCACCTCCACGAGAAAAAGGAGCTGCCTCTGGACACCAGGTGGGCCTGATGGGGTGCCGGGCAGGCGGTGGCACTAGGGACCCTGGGCTTGACACATGTGCCCACCTCCCAGCCTCCGGGGCTTGGCCCAGAGTCTCCTCCTTGAAGGCTCTTGTGGAGATGCTAGCTGGGTGTGTTCAGGGTATGGGCCGGTGTGTGTAAGTGTGTGTAGGTGTGTAAGCATGTAGAAGTGTGTGTGTATGTGTCCTTGTTGATAGTTCCTGTTTAAGGGTCACAGGATTTTACCTGCCCACCCAGGAGGCGCAGCATTGGCAGCAGCTCCAAGCTTTGGTCCCCTTCTGCCCCCTCCCGTGTCTGTCCTGCCTCTCTTGGGAGTGAGAGCAGAGTGAGTCCCCAGGGCGCTGGCTCAGTCCGTCCGGGTCTCAGCGACCTCACTGTGAGGTGGCCCAGACAGCATCAGGGGCTCTCTGGGCAGGAACGCAAACCATTTCGTCCTTTCATAGATGAGGAAGCTGAGGCCCAGAGAAGGCTGGGCACACCCAGGGCTGTCCTGCAGGTCCCTGCCTGACTCCAGAGCTCCCGGTCCTCACTCGTGGGCCGGTTCCTGCAGTGGGTTTGGCCTGGAGTTGACTGAGCTCCCTGGGGCAGGTGGGGACATGGGCCCCGAGTCCTGGCAGCATCTGGCCAGTCAGGTGGCCACACTTGTGGCAAGAGCCACAGGGGGGTTTGGGGAAGGAGGTACCATAGTCCCCGTGTTGGCCCTTGTAACCTCGGATGGAGCGTGTCTGTGTGTGTCTCTAGGTGTCTACACGTCTGTGCTTGTCTTGTGTTTGTCTGTGTCTAGGTCTCTTTGTGTCCATGTGTCTCTGTGTCCTGTGTGTATCTGTGCACATGTCCACACCTGTGGTTCTGAGTGTCTGCATGCGTGTGCCTGTGTCTGTCAGCATGTCCACGTGTGTGTATGTGTGTCTGTCTGTGTGAGTGCAAAGGGGATCCCCACCTGGTGCTCACTGCCCCGACCCCATGCCTCAGTGACTCCAGCTCGGACACGGACAGCTTCTACGGTGCGGTCGAACGGCCTGTGGACATCAGCCTCTCTCCGTACCCCACAGACAACGAAGGTGAGGCGCGGCTGGGGTGCCCCACCCACACCCTCTCCACCTGGCCCCTGGCGATGACAGGACTGGCTTCCTCTGGGGCTGTCCCCAGGAGGGGAGGCAGATTCGGCTGTCCTGCTTTCTCTACCCTGCGGCTTCCCTGGCGGCCCTGCCTGCCTGCCACGCCACGTCCTCACCCCGGCCTGCCTGCCTCAGCTGTGCCCTGATGCCCCACCCTGCGCCCTGCCCACCCTGGTCTGACCCCCTGTCTGCCCACAGACTATGATGATGAGGATGACTCGTACCTGGAGCCTGACTCCCCTGAGCCTGGCAAGCCTGAGGGTAGGTGGCCGGCTGGTGGGCCTGGGGCGCTCTGGGGCACAGCGGGGGCTGGGTGTGCCAGCCTGGGCATTGCTCTGGGTGGCCTCAGGCCTGACCTGCTCCACCCTGGGCCTGGGTTTCCCTGCTGTGGCCTGAGTGTCAAGAGGAACAGAGCAGAGAGGTGCACACCCTGTCCATCTGCTCCCTGCTTCTGGGGGTTGGGATGGGACACACGTGGGACCCTGAGCCAGGGCTGGTCCTGGGCCCAGAGTGGGAAGGAGTGGGCACATCCCGAGCAGGTCGACGCCCTATGGCTGACAAGGGACACAGGCATGTACCAGGCGTCGCAGACGTGTGTCGCAGGCAAGCACAGGGCTGGCTGGGGCAGGGCTGTGCCTCTGTTCTGCTGGCTGACCCATCTCTCCCTACCCCTGCCATGTGCCCCGTCACTCACCATCCCTTCCGCTCTCCCTCAGACCCTGCCCCCACCCTGGGCTCCTGTCATTGTGGTTGTTTCAGTATCCCAGGGGCCTCGGGACAGCCCTTCCATCCACTGGCCTCCTCTCCAATGTCTTTGTTCTCTGCCCACTTCAGTCCGCACTCCCATATCTTCCTCTCAGCCCCCCTTTCCCCAGCCCCCTTCCCTTCTACCGGCTCCCTCCCGCTGGGGCCCCAGCTCCCACAGGCCTTCAGCCCACCAGGACTCGCTCTTTCTGCACAGAGCCCACATCTCCCCATCAACCCCTCATTCACAGGCGCTACCCTCTCCTCTCTCTGGCCTTGTCATCTCCACCTGTCCCACCCCTGAACTGCAGCCTGATGTGGCTGGGGGTGAACACATGGGAGCCTTACTTCTCGGTCCCAGTGATGAGTCTGCAGGGACCCAGTGCTCCTGCAAGCCCGCCTGCACACTTCTGGCCCCCACTCCAGTCAGGCTTTCCCCCATTTTCCCCAAAACATCTTATTAGGGTTCCCCGGGAGCTGTTCCTGGCCTGGGGCCTCCCTCTCTGCTCCTCGCCTGCCTCACTCAGCACCAGGTGCCTTGCATTCTGGGTCCCCTCCCACCTCACTGTCAGCTGTGTGCCAGACCCTCGGTGCCCATCCCATGACCGAGGGCCACCCCAGGGCTCAGGCCTCATGCACTCCTTGTCTGTCACTCCTGGGTCACAGCCAGTGTCATCAATGGGCTGTTGACTCCATTGACATCTCCACCTAGGACCTCTCCTCTGAACTTCACACTTGTGCCCCGACAGCCCAGTTGACGTCCCCTGGACGTCTCACAGCGTCTGAAACTTGTCATCTTCCTTCCAGCCTGTTCCTGCCCCCTCTCCTCACCTCTAGTGGTTGGGAATTCCAGCCTCCCAGCTGAGGCCAGATCCTAGAAGTCCTCCTTGCGTTTCCTCCCTTTTGGCCCCCACCCCAACCCCCACGCCCCAGAATGCGATGGCTCTTGATGTGACATCTAGGTTTCAGGAGTCCTGCCAAGCCTGCCTTGTGGAGGATGGATGGGGTGGGCCAGGTGGCGTGGGTTGGGCTGGGACCCCAGGAGGAAGGCGGCCTCAGGAATGCTGGGCATGGGGGCTGTAGGGTGGCCAGGCGTGGGCTGGGACTGCGAGGGGGCGCACACCCACTTGGCCCTGGCATCTATTATCGGCAGAGGTGGTGTTTGTCCAGCCTCCAGCAGGTGATGCTTGCTCACCGACTGGGTCGCTTTGCTCTGCAGATGCCCTGATCCATCCGCCGGCCTACCCCCCGCCGCCTGTGCCCACACTCAGGAAGCCAGCCTTCTCCGATGTGCTCCGTGCCCACTCCTTTACCTCCAAGGGCCCAGGCCCTCTGCTTCCACCCCCGCCCCCTAAGCGTTGTCTCCCCGATGCTGGCCTGGCTCCCGAGGACCCCAAGAGGGACCTGCTGGGCCTGAGGTGGGCTGAGTCTGGCCCCAGAGTTCCTGCTGCCTCCCGGAGGATGAGCGACCCCCCGCTGGGCAGCCTGCCCACCTTGCCCAACCTCCGGAAACCGCCTTGCTTTCATGAGAGCACCAGCCCCGGCCCAGAGCCCCGGATCCCCAGCCATGGGTCCAGCTCTGCCAGCACGGTCACTGCCACCTCCAGGAACTGTGATAAACTCAAGTCCTTCCACCTGTCCCCCCGGGGGCCGCCCACGCCTGAGCCCCCGCCTGTGCCAGCCAACAAACCCAAGTTCCTGAAGATAATTGAAGAGGCCTCCCCGAGGGACACAGCCAGGCCTGGACTCGTGCCCACTGTGGCCCCCAGGCCTCCTGCATTGAAGCTGCCCATGCCGGAAGCCACAGCCCGACTTGCAGTCCTGCCCAGGCCAGAGAAGCCACCCCTCCCCCAACTCCAGTGAGTCTGCATGGCACTGGTGCCACTGGGACCCCTCCCCAAGCAGGCCAGTTCTCCCACCAGGGCCCTGGCCTCCCTACCCTGGCACTCAGGCCACAGTGGGTGGCAGGCCGCCCTGGGCTGAGCCTAGGCTGAGTGGCTGCCTCTGTATTTGACCCAAGGGTCCAGGGGATATCCATCTTTGCCCTTGATGGACATCCAGCCCAGTGGGTGGGGGTCTGGTGCCCATGGCTGCCTCAGGGAGCAGTGGGCGAGGAGCGGCTTTGGGGACACAAAGCTGCAGAGCCCCTGCTGTGCCGAGGGAGGGCCTCCAGGGTCGGGGAGGGCCTTGCAGCGCTGACTGCCTGCCCTGGCAGAGGCCGAGTGGGGACGGAACCCGGGCTGTGAGCCTCCCTAGACCTGCCTGGGACTCGGGCTACCTTTGTGCCCTTCCTGATTGGGAGCTGGCTAGAGTGCGGAGCTTGGCTGTGACTCACCCCGCAGGCCTGCACAAAACGTTTTCTGCTTTATTGTTGGGCAGTGCCAGGAGACCAGTGTGCCCCCTACTTCCACAGTGTCATCCATGCTTACAGCCCATTGTCAGAGATGTCGGGGAGCCACAGGGCGGGGGCGGGGGCCTCGAGTGGCTGTGCTGACTGGATTTCCTTGACCACGGCACACTTCTCCCAGGACCCAGCTAGCACTGCCACCCGTGGCAGTTTCCTGGGAGGACCCCTCGCCATGCTCGTGGCTGTTTCACAAGGGACCATGGCAGGGCAGACTGAGTCATTTTGCTGAGCCCCGCGTGTACCAGGGCCGATTGTCCCCAGCCCAGCCTCACCCACGGCTCAGCAGCCCGTCCCAGTGTGGCCTCTAACCTTCCCAGAGGCCCTGGAGGCTTAGGACCACCTGGTTACACGTGTGGGACATGTCCCTTGGGTTCAGCCTGTTCATATCCATTCGTACTCTGTGGCTCTGGCAGGGGTGTGACGTGGCCGAGGTCACAAAGTTGGTCAGTGGCAAAGTTGGGGCCAAGGCCCCCCAGCCTGGGGCCTTCTCCCACAGCATTCAGGGCACTTGTCCGTAGTGTGACGACACCAAAGCTCAGGCCCCTGGACTCTCCTGGCCAGGGTCAGTGTCAGCCCTGACCTCAGATCAGGCGTCCAGTCCCAGGTGATTCCTGCCACCCAGGGTGGCCAGCATGGGCCCCTCTCTGGGCTCTGTGGTCATGGCCTTTGACAGCCACTGGGGCTGTAGCAGCCAGACCCCAGGGGTTGCAAGGCTGAGCTTGGCGTGGTCACTTAGAGGGCGCATGGGGGCGGTGTGTGGAGGGAACAGAGGGGCCCCGTCCCATAACTTTCTTCTTGCCCCCCTCTTAGGCGATCGCCCCCTGATGGCCAGAGTTTCAGGAGCTTCGCCTTTGAAAAACCCCGTCTACCCTCGCAGGCCGAGTCCTTGCAGTCCGACACTGGTGGGGGTGACTCTGACGAGGACTATGAGAAGGCAAGGCCGAGTGGAGAGCCCAGATCCCTGCTGTGGGTGGGGCTTCGGAACAGCTGCAGGCCTGTGTGACCCCTCGCTGGCTGTCTCGAGCCAGGAACCCCCAGGACCCTGGAGTTGAGGGGGACAGAACATGGTGCAAAGCCTGGGATCTCGGTCGAGGCCGGCAGCCAGTAGGAGGGCGGGTGCTGGTCACGAGCACCAGCCTGATCTTGATGCTGACCTGTGTTGGCCTTTCCAGGTGCCGCTGCCCAGCTCGGTCTTCGTCAACACCACGGAATCCTATGAAGTGGAGAGGTCAGTGCGAAGCCCTTCTTTCCCTGAAGCCTTGTTTTTGCAGACACGAGATACCCTGTCTCCTCCCTGGCCCCTTGTTTTTCTGTTCTTCTGTCCCCCTCACTCACCCTGGTGCTGGGCAGTTGCTGGCACTAGTACACAGCTGAGCGCATGGAAAAACCAGCGAACAGCAGATGCCATTGGCTCAGTCCCTTGCCAGCATCACCCTGGGCATGGCCCAGAGCTCTGCACACGCTGGCTTTCACGGCACCCACTGCCCTTGGCACCTGAGCTGCAGGATAGAGAGGACAGAAGCCACTCTGGGGAGTGGGGCTTGGAGGGTCCCTGAGACCTGTCTGAGGATGGTTTACCTGTTGACTTTTTTTTAGACTGTTCAAAGCCACAGCCCCACGGGGAGAACCCCAGGACGGACTTTACTGCATTCGGAACTCCTCCACGAAGTCCGGGAAGGTAGGCGCCAAGGAGGGTGCCCTGACAGCCACCCTGCCAAGAAAAAAGGCCCCTGGGGATGGCTACACTGTGCTACAGTCTGCCACTCTCCACATGCCAACCAGGCTGCCAGGCGAGCACAGGACTTCAGTTTATACATCACTTTCCCATGCAGCCACTGATTTGGCATCTCAACCCAGTGCCATCCTTGGGATCTCTGCTTGGCAGCCCCCCTTCCCATCTATTCTCAGGAACTAAATGCCATCTGCAGACTGGGGGCAATGGTGGCCGTCCCCCCACTTTGCCAGCACTGGCACAAAACAGGAAGGAAGGGCTGAGGCCCCAGCACTCTGATGGGGCAGGGGTTCCTGCACTTTGAAGGGGAGGCTGCTTGGGGTGGTGGAAATGCCGACCTTGCCTCTGCCCCTCCAACGGTGACTTGTGTGACTTCACTGAGCCTCAGTTTTCCCGTGTGTATCAGAGATCGTCCTAGGATGGAGCAGGCCCTTGGTACTGCTAAGTCTCATCAGAGGCCATCTGAGGACAGGAATCCTGGGGCAAGAGACTGCCCTTCACGACCCTGCTGTCCACGTTCAGGGTGACCCTTCCCTGAGTCCCCCTCAGGGCCACAGGACCCAGCCTCGATGGTGCTGCTGTCCCCTCAGTCCCTGAGGCCCAGCTGCCCTCAGCCTGCACTCCAGTGCAACTGGCCTTTCTCTCTGCAGGTGCTGGTCGTGTGGGACGAAACCTCCAGCAAAGTAAGGAACTACCGTGTCTTTGAGAAGGTGAGCAGCCTGCCCCACCTGAGGGCCCTGGGTGGGAGGGTTCCCTGGCCTGGGGCATGGAAGGGGCAAGCACAGTCTCCTCGTGGAGCAGTGGGTGGGCTGAGGCTGGCACCTCTGGACACCACCCCGCCCCCACCCTCCCCGCCCCCACTGCCTCAGCCTCCACCCCGCTCCTTGCCTAGGTGTGTCCTCAACTGACCTTTGAGGGGCTGAGTGATAAGCCCTGGGCCCTGGGCTTATTTACACACCTGGCCTGCGTCCCCTGGGCGGAGTGGGGGGAATAAGGCCGGAACTTGGAGGCAGGCACAGAGGGAACACGGGGCAGCTGGAGCAGGGCTGTTGTTATTGCTGACTGCCCCATTTTGCAGGGAGAGGCAGACTGGCTCGGCCCCCCCTGACCCTGCCTCCCCCCGCCATCTCCCCAGGACTCTAAATTCTACCTGGAGGGCGAGGTCCTGTTTGTGAGTGTGGGCAGCCTGGTGGAACACTACCACACCCACACGCTGCCCGGCCACCAGAGCCTGCTGCTGCAGCACCCCTACGGCTACACCGGGCCCAGGTGACACCAGCACCTCATGCTACGGGGAAGAGGCGACTATGGGGCCAGCACCCCAGGCCACGCAGATGAGACTGGCATTCATGGGAGGCGGAGCAGGAGTGCGTGCCCTGCTCTGACCTGAGGCCTCCCCAACACACACCTTGTGGAATTTGCCAGGCCAGGCCCCACACAGCAGACTGGGTCCTTGGAGTTAGGCCAGGCCTCAGGCCCCAGGCCCCCAAGGACTGGGGGGCTTTCCTATCCCACCCCACCCACCCCATCACACTTCCCAGGAGCCCGGGGTCCTGGGACCAAGCCCCACCTGGGCTTCGTGGACAGGAATTCTGGTTCCCCCGCCCCCAGCACACTCACGTTGTACTGGGCTGGGAGCTGGGCAGGGCATTTGGGGTTGGGGCAGGGGCTGGCCCCAGAACCCCACCAGGAACGCTAAGGCCCAGGCTCCAGGAGGGGCCTGTGCCACACAATAAAGCACAGATGACCTTTGACTTGGTGGCCGGGCTTCAATGGGGAGGAGGAGTGACTGGCCTTACTGAGCACCCACACATCCGTGACTGCATCAAGTAGTGACTGCAGCCGCTCAGCTCACAGGAACCCTAAGAAGTGGTCTTCCTGTCTTCCAGGGCACAGGTTGCTGCGGGACTTGCCCCGGGTGCACTGCTAGTGATAGAACAGGATGCAAACTCGAGTTGTCTGGGCTCAGAGTCCACACCCCAAAACACCAGGTCCTGCTGCCATGGGTCAGGTTCAGGGCACTGGGCTGCAGAGCTTGGAGCTCCTCACCTCTAAGTTGGGTCATTCACTGGATTAACAAAGTGTTACCTGGAGACAGCTGGACAGGAGATGCTCACAGCGCATGCTGTCCAGAGCAGAGGGGTGTGCAGGGGCTCGGAGCTTGGGACCTAGCTGGGGTCTCCAGGAATACTTGTTGGAGGAAGTGACAGTTACAGAGGAGCGGGAAGAGTGGCCCTGAGTGGGCCATGGGTGGGTGGGGACGGTGACACCCAGATGCCTGAGCCCTCGGGCCATATGTGGCTCAGACCCATCCTGACCAACCCCTCACTTTCTGCCATGGAATTCCAATAGGCTGCTCTCCTGGCCCAGCCATCTGCTGCGGGTGTGTGTGTGTGTGTGAGAAACAGCCTTAGCTGGGAGTCAGGGCTGGCAGGGACCCCAGCATCATCTGAGCCTTGCGGTACTTTATGTTGGGAAAGGGATTTTCTGTGTAAAACCCAAACTGAGGACAGCACTTGTGGCCACCAGCCAGATTAACTGTCCCCTGGAGGAGGCCCTTTGTTTGGACTTCCCCAGCATGCTCTGGGGTGGGGTGATTTGCTGGAGAAGAGGAAGAGATGAGGCGCGTAAGCTGATGTGGGAGGCCCCGCCCCCAGGATGCTGTGGGGTGCAAGGACCATCTGCTTCCAGGAACCAAGTGACCAGCACTGTTTTTGCAGATGTTTCCTCTTCAGCCTGCCCAGGGTGGGGGGGTCAGTACCATCATAGTCAAGTTCGGGGCACGGGGAGCTCCCGGTGTTCACCATCTCTGGAAAACTAGCAATTCCTCCTCCCTTCGGTCACAATGCTTTGCCCTGTGCCCTGAACTCACTTGGGGAACCCTGCAAGACACACTTCCCCACTGTGGCTACAGCTTCCCTTCCTGTAAAATTTTTCAGTGAGGCTTGGATCAGAGACGCGGTTTCCGGGCAGTGCCCTGGGTCTGTGTGCTGGTGATGGCTTTTAGCTGACATGCAGCCGCAGGAGCCAGCTCAGTAACCAAAACATGTGAAGACCCCTGAGCTGGGAGGCTTTGGAGGTTCTGGGGTCCAGAGCCACGTTAGGTCCCTCTGGCTGCCTGGACAGATGAAGCCTATGGCTCCCCAGGGCCTGGCCTGGCCTGGCCTCACCTCCTCCCAGGCCCTAGGTCTGCCCAGGACCGCTGTCCACCTCCTTGTGAACTGCCCCTGGGCCCAGGGCCTCAGCTGTGTGTTGGTGGTGGGTAGGATCCCAGGCATGGTCCTCCAGCATGAAGGAGGGGCCAGAGGGGTCCCACTCCCTCCTGAGACCGGCCATGAACATTTTATTCCTCATAAAGGGTTGCAGGGTGCTTGCTGCTTCCTGTGTCGAGGCACGAAGTTTGCAGAAGCAGCTGCTATTAGTCCCATTTTACACGTGAGAAAACTGAGGCCAAGGCCTGGCTTCAACTCCCAGCGCTGCCACTTACTGCCATGTGACCTGTCCTCGCTGCTTTGGGCCTGCCTAGCTAATCCCTGCCACCCCTCATGGCCCCTGATGGTTATTGTGGGAGGTCCAGTTAGTGTGCCTACGAGGGTTCTGGGTGTGCCTTTACTCAGCGGAGGGGGCCATAGCTCAGGGGGAAACAAAGCTGACCTGTCTCAGTCTGGGGATAAACGAACAGGAGGCCGAGGACCTGCTCTAGGGGCTCATCCTGCTGCCTCATCGATAGAGAAACTGAGGCTGACAGGATTCACCGACGTGCCCAGCATCCTGGTGCATTCAGAGATGGGTTCCATTCCTGAGCTTGAGAAAAGGACCCAGACACTTTGGGAAGCTTCTCCAAGCCAAGGACTGACACGATGTAACTTTCCTACAGCTTTTCAGCAGGAGTGCAGTGAGCCTTGATACCTTCTGTAAATAGAGGTTTTTATTATAGTAATAAAACGATGTTTTTAGACCGAGAAGAGACCTCACAAAACAAGCCCAGAGGCGCACCCAGTCCCCACCCCAACTCTGGGTTACAGTGCATGGAGGCCCCCTGCTGGTCTAAGCGGGAGCTTCTCGGATCCCTGGAGGGATGGGTGGCTCTGATGGTGCCAGGGAAGAAAAAGCAGAGAGCCCGGGGCCAAAGGGCGGCTTGCCAAGTGCCCACTGGTACTGGTCTCTAGAGGGAAGGCCTAGAGGACGCAAGGCCTCACAGGGAATATGGGGCCGAGCTGGCACTGCAACCAAATCCGTGTCTAGAGGAGGGGCTGTGAGGGGAGGGCCACAGCCATTGGCTGTGACCCAGCAACATGGAGCCCCTCACTGGGCAACTCACATCCACATCCCGCTCCCTCTCTGTGCTTACACGTCCTGTCCCTCCTCCCAGGACAGGCTGCCTGATGGAGCATAGCAGGAGGCCATTTTCAGGTCACACCAACGTACTGAACCAGCCTTCCTGTGAACCAAGCACCTGCCTTTTCATCATCTGTCACTGTGTTACAGGGAATCCTTGAGACCGTAGGTTTGAGCTGAGAGGGGTCTAGACCACCTACCTCTGCACCTACATGAACCCAATCCTGGACCTACTGCTTCCAGGTTACAACGTGTCTACTCAACTCTTACGTCTTGGTCGTCTCACAGAACCAAGTGACGGGCAGTTCTGACCTCAGTTACTTTTGATGTCCCGTAGGAACATTTCATTTCTACCAGAGTCCAGGAGCAAGCCAGAGTTACTTTTTGAGTGGCTTGGATGTGTGCGTTTGTAGTTTTCATCGAATTTGAAAAGTTCAGCCAGTGTATCTTCAAATCGTATTTCTATCCTCGTCCCAACCCCAACCCCATTTTCAGGGACTCCAGTTACACATACTTGCACACCAGGCCTCACAGTTGTCCTACCGCTCGCTGGTGCCGTTCCTTCTTTTCCAGACTCTTTCCTTTCAATGTTTCATTTAGCTTCTTTTCCCATGTCGTCTAGTTCGCTTTTTCTTTTGCTGTATCTCATCTGATGTTCATCCCATCCAATGTATTTTTCATTCCTGACATTGTATTTTTCACCTTTAAATGTTTGATTGGTCTTTCAATTTTTTTAATTTTACTTTTGAATTAGTTGACATACAATATTATGTTAGTTTCAGGTGTACAAAATAGTGGTTAGACATATGACTTTTTTAAACAATCACCCCAATAAGTCTAGTACCCATCTGAAACCACAAAGTGATTACAATACTCACTATTTTCCCTATGCTGCCCTTCACATCCCTGTGATGAGCTAGTCTTTTTCTGGTATCTTTGGTGTCTCTGCTTAACAGTCTCAATTGCCTTCTACGTCTCCCTTCTTCCCTTCAGCAAGCCCTCTGACACCTCTTGTGGGCCAGGCCTTGTTGCTGAGTGCCAGGGTAACAGAAGTGGGATACAGAACTGTGGAGTCTTGTCCAGAAGATGTGCCCTGACCGCAGAGGTCACTATTCTCCATTGACAATATCCCTGACCCTTCGTGGACAACACCAAAAAGGCCCCTGCTGGAAATGGGCCCCTCACTCTTCTCCCACTGCCCGGTTCTGGGCTTCAACTTTCCATGGACATAAAGGGGAGAGCAGCTCTGCCTGTCTGTCTTCCAGGCCTTTTGGGGGCCAGATGAGACGACAGGAGGGACAGGGTGGCGGAAGGTGCTGGTCTGGTCTCTAGGCCATCCTCCAGGTCTCGGCCAGGTGACCTAGGCTCGCCAATTCCCTGGTTGAGAAAGTGGTGCTTGTTCATCCAGAATCAGCAGGCCAGGCCCCGGGCACCAACCAGGCAGCCGCCCTGTCGGTGGAGCCTTATCAGGGTGCACAGGCCCGGCTGTGCCGACCCCACCCTAGCCCCAGCCTGGCCCCACACTCTGCTTGCGGACTCGCTGGCCAGTCTGCCGGGCATTAGACAGAGACCAGCACAGGGCTGGGCACACGGAGGCAGGGTCAGTCTGCTGGAGGAGGGCAGGGAGAGGCCCGGCCCCGGGTTCTGGGCCGACCCGGCTCGGAGAGCGCCCTCTGGCCGACAAGGGCCTGAAAGGGGACCGTTTAGAAAGCCCTCTTGCGCATTCCGTGAACCGAGCTGGCAGGAGGCCTCCACCAAAATCTGACCAGCGACGATGGAGTGAACGAGCGGTTCCGGGAGAGCGGGCGCCGCTGCCACAGCTCACCCGGCCTCCTTCAATGACGAGACATGTGGTTCCGTGTCCCGCCGTCCCCGTGCCGGGGCCCAGCCCACCTGTCGCGCGAGACCCTCGGCTCTCCGCGGGCGGGCGGGCGGGGCCACAAGGAGTCGGGTCTCCGCGGCGGCGGCAGCCCCGCCCCTCGCCCCGCCAGGCGCAACCCCCCGCCGCGCCACCGCCCTGCGACCAGCCAATCGCAGAGCGCGTTGCTGGGCTGCGCGGCGCGGGCTGGGCCTATGGGGTGACGCGTCGTTGGACAAGGAGTCGGGTCTCCGCGGCGGCGGCAGCCCCGCCCCTCGCCCCGCCAGGCGCAACCCCCGCCGCGCCACCGCCCTGCGACCAGCCAATCGCAGAGCGCGTTGCTGGGCTGCGCGGCGCGGGCTGGGCCTATGGGGTGACGCGTCGTTGGGCTGCGGCGCCGCAGACCGCACCCAGCTCCGGAGGCCGGGCAGTGCCGAAGGCTGAGGGGGCGGAGAGGCCGGGCGGGCGGGAGCTGCGGGACGGTGAGCGCAGCGGACAGGGGCGGAGCCGGAGCCCGAGCCCGAGCCGGAGCTGGAGGCGACGGGAGGCGGCTGCACTCGGACCTGGGAGCCCGCGCACTGCTTGCAATTCGCACCTGAGGTGAGGCCCGCGCGCCAGGGGCGGCGGTGGGGCCCGGGGCACGGCGGTCGGCGCAGGGGCTCCTGGCCGGGCCGCGGGGCCTGCAGCCTCCAAAGCGGGCGGGGCCGCTGGGCGGGGGCCCTGGCGGGTCTCAAGGCTGGCGCCGGGCTGCGGGGGCCGCCCTGGGAAGGGTCCTCGCCGGGCAGCCGTCGGCCTTGACCGAGTGCAAAGCAGCCGACGCTCTGCAGAACCCTTTGCCACTTGGGCTTCTTTGTGGGGGGCGCCTGGGCAGCTCGTTTCTGGGCTCCGGGGGTCCGTGAGGAAAGGAAGCTCCGGACCGCACGTTGGGCCAGCACGGTGCTCGCGACGGTCCTTTCCGTGGCCCGGAGCGCTGCCCGCTGCAGGGTTTGTGCACAGATGCAGACCGACGCGGGATCCGGATCCCGCCTGTCGGCCCTCTTTTTTAAAACGACAGCTTCTGCCAAAAGAGAGAAAAGCCAAATCTGCCCACAGACGGTAATAAGGTTCTCCCGGAACTTGGGTAGAGGGAGCTGTGGGCCGTCTTCGCCCCTTAGTCTCCTTCCTTTTTCGTTTTCTGGGAGGTGTCCGAGGGCCTCGAAGATCAGGTGCAGATGACAGGTGAGATGAAGACAGGTCTGAGAAGTGAGAGAAGGGAGCTGAGCCAAAGACTTGGCTGCTTAAGGCCCAGCTGAGGGTTTTATTTCGTAAATATTATGTCTTCGTTTTCTCTTCAACTTTTATTTTTGCTTTTACAATTCACGGCTCAAGCTACGTTGTGGGTGGTTTGCGTTCACTTCGTGCATGCCTACCTTGAAACAAATATTTTGGTTAATCTGAAACGGCTGGTGGTGTGACCGTGTGATTTTATGCCTAAATGACATAAAGCAATTGTCGTCTTCCCAAGGACCAAAAACATAGCTGGTAGCTGAATACAGTGCTGGTAAGTTAGTACAGAAAGATTTTTTCGCATGTGAAAAATTTATTGAAACCTTAAAGGGGGTAGGAAATAGGCTGCTGAAAGGCCCCCCCCAGTGAGAAGGGGGGGCAGTGGATGAGGGGTTGTTCAACTGGCACCAAAGACGCAGGGTCTGTCAGGCAAAAAGGGTGAATTGTATGAAGGTGGCTTTGTAAAAATTGGAGTCTTTAATTAATGGGCAAATGCTAGCGATGTGTAAATTATTTTTTAAAATCCAAAATCTTAATATACCCTTTTGATTCTGACTATGGGGAAAACTAGAAGAGTAAAGTTGTTTTTTAAGGAAGTGGATGGTTTTGGCAGTGAGAACTGCTTTTCGTAGTTTTGATGTGGTTTACGGCAGGACAGACGGTGTGATCTGATTTGGTGCTTGTCGTGTGTTTAGGTTTTAGTTACAGAGGCTCACTGAAGGACAGGAATCTAAATTCTACCCCATGTCCAAAAGGTGGGATAGTTTCCTTTCTAAAATATAATTTACAGGGATGACCATTTTCTCCTTTAACTCTTTGATGTTATCTGATACTGATTTTGTTTGGTGTTATTGATTTTACCGTAAAGGCTGTTCCTTTAGCTGGTTATTAGTTTTTAGTTATTTCAAGTAGTCATTGTATTGACTCAGAAAAGTAAATACTGATATGCTTTATAACATACCTGAAAAAACTAAAAACATCAAATTCCTAACCAGTGTTAAAATTTTCTCGATTGTCTCAGTTTTTTAATAGTTTGACAGTTCATTTTAAAAAGACATTTTTATTATGTGCAACAGAGTTTAAATTGACTTTATTTTTACACCTTTAACTCGTCTCTCACACGCGGAGAATAGTATAATAAGCCCCTACTGACCCTCACCCAGCTTCAACAGTTATTAACTCATAGCTAACCTTGCTTTAGCTGTACCCCCAAACTCAGGTGTCATATCATTTTAACTGTTAATATTTTAGTGTGTATATCTACATATATCTTTTTTAAAAGATAAACACAAATACCACTATCACAAAATTCCTTATTACCTTCAAATATCCAACCAGTGTTAAAATTTTCTTGATTATCTCATTTCTTTTTTAACAGGTTGAGTCAGGATCCAAATGCTGTTCATACATTGTGACTTATTTTCATCTGTAGGACCCCCTTCCATCTTTTGTTGTCTCTTGTAATTTATTTGTTGCTGAAACTTGATGGTTTGTCCTGTGGAGTTACACAGTCTGGATTTTATTCTGTATTATAGTGTAAGTACACAGAATTTACTGTAAATTTAATCTAGTTTAGTTAGATGTAAAGGTGTAATCAGATTCAGGTTTATTTTTGGCAAGAAGTCTTTATAGGTGAGTAGGCAGATTAGGATTAATAGTTCTTGTTAGCAGCCCTTGATGCTCATGCTCAGTCATTATTTTGTTAGGCATTGAAAGTGTTGACATTTTAATCCTGTAACCATCATTTATTAGCTGGAATACTTCTGTAAGAGAAATTTCCGCTCTTCCATTATTTTGTTACCTTGACTTATAGCTCTTTTAGGGAAGGCAGGATAAATGCGTAATTTCTCTCCATTATTTCCAAAATAGTGGCTTGGCATCCTCCAGAAGTGCTCAGTGAGTTGTGTATGCGTATATGTGTTTGCATCATTGTGAACTCATGGATTTAAACATGTTTGATATGGTTCAGTCCTTTGTAGATATTATCCTTATTGATGCTCAGATTGTCCCATCTTTGTCCAATGAGAATCTGTTTAAATTGGCTCCTAAATCCTTGAGACACAACTCTAATAGTTTTTGATTGCTCTTCTTTCTGGTATGATAAACCGTGCCAGGCTTCTCTTGGGCGTTCTGTGTCCTAGCCCTGGAATCATCCACTTCTCCAAAGACTTTGGTTTCTTTTAATGAAAAACTAGTATTTAGTAGCCACAGTGTAGGCCCTAGGTTGATCATAGGTCTTTTCAGTGCACAGATCAGAGGTTACTGATACTTCCAGTTGTAAAGCAAGAAGACAGAGTTCTGTTTAACCTTCTTGATTTTACAGCGATACCTTTTTTTCTTCTTGGACAAACATCTTGATTCTAATTACGCGTGGTTTTATCCATCACTGTACATATCTCAGTCTTGGGAGTATATACAAACTACCACCAACTAATAAAAACTGTAAGAGGTCTTTTCTGCATACTTATTATGTAGTCAAATTATTTTGTTTTGAAGTAACTTAGATTGATTTTTGCCACTGTTGGATGTATACTTTGGTTCTTTTGTTTTTTATTTTACTTTCAGTGTTTAGGGATTTCTTATTTAAAATTTAATTTTGTTTTATAATTATGTAAAATATTAAAAGACTTTCAAAATCAAACATATAAAAAACAAGGTATATACAAAGAAGTCTTGCTTCTTTATACCCCTCCCAACCACCAAGCTGTTCTATGTATCCATGATTCAGTTGTTGGTTTTTTTTGTGTTTTTTTTTTTAGGATTCCACATATAAGTGAGATCATACGGTATTTGTCTTTCTCTCTCTGACTTATTTCAGTTAACAATGCTCTTAAGGTTCATCCATGGCTCTAATGGCAGGATTTCCTCTTTTCTTTGGCTGAATAATATTCTATAGTATATATACAACACATTTTCTTTATCCATTCATCCATCATTGGACACTTAGGTTGCTTTGATATCTTGGCTATTGTTACTAATTCTGCAGTGAATATGGGGGTGCATACATTTTTTTGAGTTAGTGTTTTTATTTTCTTTGGATAAATACCCAGGAGTGGAATTGCTGGATCATATGGTAGTTCTGTTTTTATTTTTTTAAGGAACCTCCATATTATTTTCCATAGCGTTGCATCAATTTACATTCCTACCAACAGTGCATGAGGGTTCCCTTTTTTCCACACAGCCTCAATAACACTCTTTCTTTCTTTCTTAATTTCTTTCTTTCTTTCTTTCTTTCTTTCTTTCTTTCTTTCTTTCTTTCTTTCTTTCTTTCTTTCTTTCTTTCTTTCTTTCTTTCTTTCTTTC